ACGAGCCAACAAATATATATTAACGCTAAGCAATGCTATTTCGATGTTAAATCGATGCTAATTAGCATCAAAATAGCATCAGTTAGCGTTATTATATATGTGTTGGCGCTAAATAGCAGCAAATTAATTGAATTAAGCGTCAATTTAACGTCGAATACCAAACAAACCGTCGCATTTTTTGTTCTTTACCCTAAACACTAAAAATTTCATTTAGCGTCGATTGTTGGCAATTCGATGCTAAATTGATGGTAAGTAGCATCGATTTAGCATTGACTATAGATGATTCCCATGCTAATTCGCAGCTATGGCGAGGCTAAATCATGTTTTAGGGTATAGGGTAAAAACCCGCCACAGATACGAAAACAATCTTAATCGTATTGATTTTTGGTGTAACAGATTAATTTTAAACTTAAAAGTTTTTGGACCAAACATACTTTGTTCCTATAAGGTTCAAGATATATGTAAAACTATATAGGCTTTTTGAAATCTTTATTCATTACATTTGTTTTAAATTTTGAATACATCACTTATACATTCGCAATAACATACAATATAGATAACATTTATGCATCAGCATCGGTTCTGAAGACTCCGATGAAAAATCGACGCATCTTCTGTTCTTTACCCTAAACACCAAAAATATCATTTACCGTCGAAATATCATCAATTGATAACAATTCGATGCTAAATCGACGCTAAATAGCGTCGAATTAGCGTTGACTACAGTAGATTCCGATGCTAATTCGTGGCTATGACAAAGCTAAATCATGTTTAGGGTATAGGGTAAAACTCCATTAAAAACGTGCAACCTACCTACCACTTTCGACGCAATATTCGATGCTATATCCGATGCTATGATATTTTTGCTAAATCGATGCTAAATTAGCATCAATTTAGCATCGAATGTAGATAGTAGATGCTAATTCGATGCTAAATCGATGCAATTTAGTATTGATTTAGCGTCGAATAGTTTTGTCCCAATATTGCGTCGTATTTGCATCGAATGTCTAGATCAACACAAAATCAATGTAAAATTGACCCTATATTTGCGTCGACACAAAACCGATGCAAAAATTCGAAGCTAAAACTGTGTTTTCTTATAGTGTCTATTTAGAGAGTCCCAGAAATAGACAAGTCTAACTCACGTAAACTTCCTATTTCCAACCTCACACATAACCTATGACTCACCCATCATACTATAAGAAATACACAAGTTATGAACAAATTAATAAGAAATCACATCTTATTAATCTCAAAATGTATAAATCATTACAACTCCGAATGAAAATACATAACAACACACAACAAAATGCTATCACAGGAAACTGAACCAGAAAGACAAACTTATTATAGTTTATTTTTTTAACGTTTTAGACTTTTTTGTTGGTTTAATTTTAGACTTAACTTATTATTGGGTTTTTAACAATTTATATTATATAAAACTATTGTTAAAAAATATTGAAAATGACCACAGTTTTTAACTAACCACACGCCTCTAAAAGTCTTGGCACGGCTGATCAAGCCAGCTCAAGATTTGGGCTTTCTCTCTCTAATTTTCTCTTGTAATCGTTTTTTTGTAAAACTAGACTTGACACCATTGTGGTAGGGCTCAAGCTCTCCGTGAAACTCTTGTATCTTTTTCTGATCGTAGTGGATACTGTGGACCAACGTTGTCCACCTAGGATGTAATGGTAGAAGTTGAACTCGGTGACCATTGTTGTCTGTTCTTAAGCTTTCTTGTTTATGCAATTAATCTAGTTCCAATTAGCTTACGGGTCAAGTGAATTGATGCAAAGTATAGAGGCTATATTATTGGAACATTGAGTAAAGTTTAGGCCTCTTAGGACTTTTAAAACCTTTTTTCTGAGTGCTCTCTTCATGCCCCGTTCCCCCAAAATCTGAAATAAGTGTTTGATCAAAAAAAGAACTAACCGGAAGAGTACCTGAATCAAACGGAAATTGATCTAGAATGGTGACAATTTTCTCTTGTGGATTTCTGGAGACAG